CAACAACCTCCTGAATGTTCTACAGTCTTATCACCGTCAGTGGTTCTGATTGTAGTTCTCTTATATTATATGACATTGAGTTACCTGGCAACAGGGTCAAAGGCCAGCCGTTCACACAAAGACTAAAGTAAAACTAAACTCTGGATACAAGTGTCCTCAACAATCTGTTTAACATTTAACTTATTAACCCTAGTCCACACTCATTTGTAAACCAGAAATCCAGTCAACACTTTCTTTGTAGTTTCCACTCTCATTAGCACTGAAGGCTGCAGACTTTCTGTTTTACATGGTGTTAATTGTGACTTTGTGGTGAGCTACAAACTATTTTAAAAACCACAACAGAATGTGTGAGGAAACATACTGTGAGTATATTGAAGGTTTTTTTTAGGTCAACATCTTTTACGATCCGGATTTCATCTAGGAGACGCTGATAAGAGTCATAATGGTGTCAATGATTTACAGACTTATTAAACTCTGAGCAGCAGTCAGTTGAAATGAGCGAGACACCGAGCAACAGGTACGTCCACTTCTGAATTTAATTTAGCTATTGTTTGTTGTTCATCTCACTTCTTTTTTGTTGTTTTAATAATATTTCCATTCTTTACAAGAACATCTCTTCTTAATTTAGACAAGTAAGGAGACCAGTAAGTTTATTTTAAAGCCTCAGTAGAAAAACAGTCTCCATAGATCGGACGTTAGAGGCAGCTGAAGGGTGATTACTGTCTAAGCTTTAAACTTTACCATGTTGTTGAACAGCAGTCTCCAAATTTCACACCAACATGTAGGATATAAAGAACCTTTCCTGTTTCATATGATTGTAGATATAAACTTTGCATGACAAAGTGTTCTTTTGTTGCTAAAATATCAAACAACACCACCAGCTTCATATTTTTTAAATCCATTAATGAACAGTGTTTACCACAACAGAAGTAAAACCAGAATCTGACAAAGTTTTTGTCAGTCAACAAAAGTGAAAGTAAAGCATTATTTTTAGTGCAGATGTGCTTGAATAGCTACAGAACACTTTATAAGTGAAGTATATCTTAACATGGGAGAACTAGTTGACAGAGAAGATAAGAAAAACACATTTTCATCTTGAAGTCTGAGCAGGAATTAGTAGATCTTTGACTGGACCACTTATCTCATCTAAACACCAGTTAAAACTGTCTTGTTGTCATGGTTTCCACTGTGTTCATGGTTTCTGTATATTCTCAGAGCTGCAGGATGTTTCATCAGAAGACTGGATTGTTGCTTCAATCTACCATCACTGCTCTGCTCTTCTGTCTTCTCCAGATGCACTATTGCAGAGGTATCTTCCACACAAACACAATCGTTTTAAAATCCCTTCACCCTCTGGATAAAAACAAATTAACAAGTGAAAAGACTGAAAGAAGCTACTTGTCAGCTTTGTCTCCCAAATATTACAATTCTATACAACTAGACTGCATTTTAGTGATAGAAACCAAAAATATGTTTCTAACATGATTTCTGATGTAAAGTTGGGACTGACTCACTGATGGAGCCTCAAGTGGACATTTAAGGAACTGCACTTCACTGTTGGTTTATTTTTCAGCCTCAGAAGTTTGCTGCTTGGTTTATGTGCATTAATGAGGATGAAGGTTGTAGAATGTGGATGAAGATCCAAA